CACAGACGATAGCGAACCCGACGCTTCTGTTACTTCAGAGGTACTGTGCTACTACTACAGTACCGCACAAGGACGAAGGATTCATAAATTGAGAGAGACGGGTGTGTGTGGTTTACAAAGTCACTACTGTAATTGTTTATTTTAAGCATTTTTTTTATAAGGACATAACAAATAGTTTATATTTGAGGTTTACATGCATGACCTCACTCACGAACACTAGTATGCCATCTGCTGCTGGCAACTAGACCCATTTTTAAAGGCAGCACAGAACCTCCTTTCAGCTGCCTGAACAGGGCTCATTTAGTGTCCTTAGATTTACGTTCCTAAACATTTCAGTTTGTTATGTAGTAACAATGAGGGCAAAACGGTATTTTCAAGGTTGCTCACACTTAACATATCCACCATCAACTCCAGGAATTTTTTAGATGCTCTATAGAAATAATCTCACTTCTTGCTTTCAAAAACATGTTGAAGAACCGTCATCCCTGTAGGAGATTTTTGAAAACTATTGTTCAAGAACTAGAAATTTCTCATTAGGACCTGGCCCTACACTTACTTTCACAGCAACAAGAGTTTCAGCCACAGGGGCTTGTATTTCCAGTAATAATTCCCAACAAATCAAGGTATTTCCTTGCTGGAGAAAAAAGGCAAAAAACTGCTCCCCTTACTGTTGTTCTGTGTCTGGAAATCCCCTCTCGAAACTTCAGCTGACATTCTTCACACGTTGTTGTAAGCTGTCTGTAACATTCCCCTTAGAGGTTAGTCATGGCTTGGTACAAGGCAAAACAGTTTTCACATACACAGGGCTGATACTATTGGGAGTCAGAACTCACGAAAAGCACCTGCATTACCTGGCAACGCTAAGATTTTGCTAAGCGAATCAAATCAGCATTTCCTTAAACATGATGACCTACCACCAAGCACTTTATCCTGCGTCTCCTATCCCTCCCTCACCCCACTGAAGCTTAGGGCACTGCTACACCACGCAGAGAGCAGCACAGTTCACAGCTCCCCAAGCTAGCTCCAGCCCAGCAGCCGGTGGTGAACTCATCTTGGGCCTGGGACTGGACAGCATGTCAAGCACGCCTTACCACTTCGGTGACAGTTCAGTCACACAGCTGCCAGGCCCAAGCTGGCGCTCCTGCAGGGGCAGATACTGGCAACCTCCCAGCCCGTAAGAACCCCATGAATAATTGCTTATACAGTACTTCTGTCTCAGCAAAGGAGACCAGGAATTCAAACTAAGATTTCAGACGTCATTCATGTTAAAACAGGGATACCCTCTGTAATATACACATAATTCCAGCCCACCCCATGCCAAGACAAGACCTCCTTCTCCCTGCAAAAAAATCCATTTTTGTATCTGAAAGGAACAGATTATCCACCTTCCTCCTGCAGAGCAGGCAAAGAAGTGTCCCTGCTGCTAAAGGGTCTCAGAACAGGACAGTGGAGATGCTGAGTTTAACACTACATAACAGGATAAACAGAGAAGGTGAGTTTGAGTACTGTGTTCCATGCCTGCACAGACAGAACAAACGCCCCAACAAAAAGCCCACACAAAACCCAAAAGCATACCCACTCCCAAACACCACACACAACATACTGCAGAAAGAAGCAGAATATCAAGCAATAGCTTTCTTGCGAGATGGGGATAAGCAAACATTAGAATCACTCAGAAGTTTGTAGTTCACTAGGAATTACAAGTATTCGTAATGTGTTAAACCATTATCACTTATTTTCTCTCCAAAGCCAGTCACTTTCAGGTATAAATAAATGGCTTTTTTCTGGTCCAGTTTTACAATGTAGGGGGTGAAGAGGAAGGTAGCAATATGAACAGAAAATAAGCTCTATGCATAGGTTACAGACTTGCTTTTTGTACAATTTTCAGCAACGTATTTTTTCCTTTTGCAAATATATGGGTAAATACTATACTGATTATTGTGGGAATTTTCTATGGCAGTGAATGAACAACATAGAAAAATAATCAGATACTGTGGCTACTGTACAGCTATGTGGATGAGAAAATGCTGAATGACCAAAGGACAGTAAATTATCTTCATTCTGTGCAAATTCCAATAAAAACCCACGAAAAGTTCTGTTTTCTTGAGTTTAATTGGAGCTTTATTACTTAAGCTGTGACTTCACAGTCTTCACCTTCAGCAATTTGCAAAGAGGAGGCATACAAGAAAGGTTACAACACTTAATGGAAGGGACTCCCTACTGAACAGGGGGAAAGGGGGCAATGCCAAGGCAGAAGAACTGGGAGTGCCAATTTGTTCTCAAGTCTCATGTGAGGACTCCTGGAAAGGCCTGATTACTTGAAAGAAATCAAGGAAATAAATTTAGGGAGCAGAACCTGGGATTAAAGTGAGCTGGAACCAGAAAGAGACAAACACCAATGGCAAAATGCAAATAAACCAAGCAGAGTAAATCCAGACAGAACCCAAACAGTAACAGAGGCTGAATGAATAAATAAAGTCCCTAGGATTAAACCAGATTTATGCTGCCACTCAGCTTCTTCAACAGACATATAAAGCTGTAACTGACTGTGGCATGGTGGCTTCAGCCTCTGCTGCCCTGAAGCCACTGTCCAACCAGGTAGAAAAATAAAGGTCTAATTCACTGGAAATTCTTTCATTTACAAAACTAATGGAATAGGGTTTGTTTTTATGCTTCTGTGTCAACTTCTGATTTATCTTCAACTCCATTCTGCTCATCTTTCATTTCTTCATCTTCAGTGTGGCTGGTTTGAAGAGTAGCAGCTGACTAAATAGAGAGACAAAGAAAATATATTCCTTTGTTATGCAAAATTGCTAGCATTTGCAAACAATACCACAAACATTATTTGATTCTTACCGCTAGGATACCTGATCTCCCTGCAAGACTGAATTAAGATATTGGGACCTTCAGCCAAGAGAAACCAAAAATTTCTTTGCATTTCTTCTGCATCTAAGAAACCAGGAGCAGTTTAGAGGAGGCTGAGAAATAATACTGGTGTTAGATGGTTGAGTCATAACGTGGCGTGCACACGCTTGCCTCCTAACACTAAGAAAGTGTTCTCCCACAAACTGAAATTTGTTTAGGAAGCTTCTGCACAGAACTGCTTTCGTCCTGCTTCAATTTCAGCAATTCCCATACCCTGCCCCCACCCCCAAGTTGTATGAGGCACACTTGGACTCAAGATACAAAGCAGTATCTTTCTTGGACAACTAGTTTCATGAAGAGTAACTTCAACTCGACAACAGTCACTTGGATGTCCTCTGTAAGCGCTTAGCTGGAAGAAGGTCCAATCTGACAAGGTGGCTGCTCTAAAAGCCCTCTCCTTGCTCTATCTTCCAGTCCACATAAAAAGGTGTGGAA